AAAGAAAAGTTTTTGAGATTTTTGTTGCAAATAAAATAAAAAGGAAGAAATTTGTACGAAGAAAATTCAGTAGTAAAAACAGTAAGGTGTCGAGAATTCCTAATGTTTCGTTCACCAATTCAAGTTTTGATTCACAAAATAAAGGAATCGAATAAATTAAATCTCTATGTTGACTCCGAAAATATTATTATTACAAGTTATCCAAAATCGACAATATATCAATTTGACAAGATTGCAGTAAAAGACAATTTGTAAAATAATTTGAATGACAAAATAGTACATGACAAAATTACATAAGAAAAGTGTGACTGAACTTATATAAAAATTAGCACACAATATTTTAAAAAATAAATGAAAGATAGATGAGATTTAATTTATTCAGATATTGAACATTATAGCACAAGGAATCAAAAGCCCAAATTGGGTCACTCAACAAAAGTTCATCTCTAACTTTTTCAAGAGAACTCTAGCCTAGCTTGCAAAACATTCTCACAAGTTATAGAGAGAAAATATGAGAGTGACAGCAAGACGACAGAAAACTGAATAATACAAGCTTACAAAAACCTTAGGGTAACCCTCTTATTTATAGTATTTAGAGGTTGCCTGTCAAATAACGAAACAAATAATAAAAATAAAAAATTACAAAAAAAAATGAAACAAAATAAAATTACACATAAATTAGGAGAAATCATATATTTGATTTGGGGAAGAAATCTGGCAACTCGCGGAGAAGAAATCTGGATTCAGCACCTCATCTGGACACGTGTCGCATGCAATTGGAAAGAAGGAATCAACTCACCACGTGTCGCATTTGGAGTGGTTGGCATGTGCTAGCACTGGTCAAAAAGGAGGAATGCTGGCCGACAACTGGGTTCCGCTGAGACAAGTGGCACTTGGAGATTGGTGGAATGGACTGGCAGAAATCTGTCGCGGGGACAGCTGGATCCATGGTTGACAGCTGGCGAGCATTTATTGGGAATCAGGCTGGCACCGCAGACGCGGGACCCACGCGGGAGAAAGCTGGGACGCGCACTGATGGCAACGTGGAAGGAACGCGTGCTCTGGGGTGTGGCGTGCTGGTGACACGCGAGGTGTGAGATGACGGGAAGAAATGGGCGCGGATTTCTGCGCTAACTGGTGGGGCCCACGGTGCTGATGTTGGCTCGGCTAAGCTGCTCGGCTCTCTCTCTCTCTCTCTCTCTCTCTCTCTTATTGGCTTGTGCGGCTTGGCTGAAAGGCTTAGCTCAGGGTGGTCGAAAACATGGCTTTCATGGCTTGTTTTTATGTAACTTTTTACACTGCTTTTTATCTGCAAATAATTAAGCAACAACTAGACAAATTCCAATGAAAAAAATTTTGAATAAAAATAATAGAATTGTTTAATTAAAGCTTAAATATTTTAATATTATATAAATCAAAAGCAGTATTTAGGGTGCATTTTCATGCACTAATCACACATATTTCACATTTTTTTAAAATTATCAACATCACAATTGAATAATCCACACTTGATCATTCTTTTCATAGTTGATATACCAATATGTGCTAATCTACCATGCCACAAAGAAACATAATTATCCATATAAGCGGAATCAATATTTTTATTAATAGAATTGTCAATAGTACATAGTTTGACCATTCCCTCACTGGAATAACCTTTTCTAACAAAAGAACCATTTTAGGACAAGATTAACTTGCCCGACTCATACACAGCCTTAATCCCGGGCTTATCCAAAAGATCCACACTAGTTAGATTTCTATTCATATCGGGTACATAAAGTAGGTTAGAGTAATTTTCTTTCCATAAGTGAATGCAAGTTACACACTCCCTTTGCCAAGCACATTGGAACATACTTCATTCTCTATTTGAATCTCTTGTCCGTCACTCACCTCTTGGAAAGTTTTTTATAGAGATTTATTATAGGAAACATGAGCGGTAGCACAAGTGTCATACCACCATCCGGGAACCTTGCCTTGTACCGCATTGATTTCGCTCACAGTAGCGACAATATCTTCCTCTTCAATAGAGTTCACGTTAGCCTCATCGCTAGGCTTCTTTTTGTAGCGGCAATCTCTTGCATAGTGTCCCACTTTGCCACACACAAAGCATGCTCCCTTGGATTTCTTGTTGGCTTGTGTCTTTTTAAATTTGTCTTGATCCTTTTTAGGACCCAAATTCTTGTTCTTGTTGGTTTGTGAGGGCTTAGTCACGACATTGGCTTTGGAAATAGCCTCATAAGAATTTTCATTCTTATCTCTTGCCCTTGACTCCTCTTCGATCTAAATATGTTTTTGTATGTACTCCAATGAAAAATCTTCAGAACTATGCAAAATCTTCTTCCTATATCCTTTCCAAGTAGAAGGCAATTTAGCAATAATTGCTCCTACTTGAAATGATTCAGGAAGTTCAATTTTCACAGCCCTCAACTTATTGACAATCACTTACAATTCATGCACTTGTGGTAAAATTGGTTTATCATCAAAGAATTTAAAATCAAAATACTTTGAAATTAAGAATTTCTTGGTACCTTCCTCTTCCGCTTTGTATTTGAACTCCAATGCGTTCCATATCTCTTTTGCAGAAGATGTATTGGTGTAGAGATCATAGAGACGATCGGAGAGAGCATTGAGAATGTGGCCACGGCATATCAACTCATCCTCTTCTCATTTCTTTCGTTCCGCCTTCAACGTTTCAAAGTCATCATCGGTTGGTTTGGGAATAGGCTCCAAATTTGGACTCAAAACATAGAAGATCTTCAATGCAGTCAAGAGAAACTTCAATTTGTCCTACCACCATGTAAAGTTAGTCCCATCAAAGCGATCCAATTTAACCAAGTCATGGTTCATCAATTTGATAGTGGCAACGGTAGTTTCGGTCTCCATTTCAGCAGAAATTACACTTTAAGATTGTTGAAAATCTTGAGGGAAAAGAGACTTGAAACACGTAGAAAGTACGCTTTTCTTAAAGTGTAATTTGCCCCCTCTTGTTAGAGATTGTTTCGGGTTCTCGGCAAATCGCTCGCTGGATAGGACAAGCCTTTAAGTTATTAATCGCAAGCAAAATGACAACAACACTAAAAGAACTCTTAGAATTTCTGAAAATTTTGAACAAGAAGAGAGAAGAATTGTAGAGTATTTTTTCTCACATATTTATCAACAATTCTTGTTCTTTTATAGTTTTTTATCACACCAATATGTACAGACACAACCAGACTTGAAAAGGCACCGTTTCCATTTGAATTGGTGTCAATTCATGTTTCAAAAAACGTGTCTGATTGTTACGGCGCTGCAGCGCCAGTTTCGGGCACTGCAACGCCAGTTTCTGGAAAACCAGAAACTATCCGCGCAAGCCTGAGCACCGCGATGCCCAAACTCAGCGCTGCGGCACTCTGCTCTCTGTCCAGTTCAGTGCCGCGACGCCCAAACTCAGCGCCAAAGCACCATGCTTGCTGGAAATTATGTCCATTCCAGCACCGCGGCGCCCAAACTCGGCGCTAAAACGCCCTACTTGCTGAAAATTATATCAACTTTTAAATGTTATAAAACTTAACAAATTCTTTTATATTATATTTAAACAATCCCAACATATTTTACGTGTCAAAAAAATCGATCCTATTTTAAACCATGTGTATATATAAAGATCACTTCAAAAAATTTCTCTCCCTCTCTCGGAATTGAACAGACCAACCCTCCCTCTTTGCTTCTCTCTCACCGACCAGACCACCCTCTCTCTCCACTTTTCTCTCGCCCCTCTTCTCTCTCTCTTCCTCTTCTCTGTCACAAGAATCCAAATATATACCTTCAACTTACGTTTCCAACCAAAGAATCCAAACTTCACCAGCAAAATCAGGGCTTGTTCGGTTGCATTTTTGAGTTATAGTGACTTAAGTTTAGATGTTGAGATGAATTTGAGTTATAATTTGAGCTGTAGTTGTAACTTGAGTTTGTGTTTGGATGTTCACATTTGAGTTATGATTTGAATTGAGAATTTATTTGAGTTTGTATTTAAGTGGGTCAAAACTTGAATTTGTATTTAGATAGCATTTTAATAAAAACTCAATGGTGATGAAAAATTTTAATAGAGTCCATGAGTGAGGTTTTATTCGTCTCTTCGTTGTGAACACATAGAAAAAAAATCATCTCAATCAGAATAAAAACGAAAAAGTTATAATGTTTTTAAGAATAGAATAAATATTGTTCATTAACTTGAGTTTGAGTTTAAGAATTTGAGTTGAAGGGAAAACTTGAACTCAAATTTTAGCCACAAACTTTAGTTAAAACTCAAGTTCAAACCCAAATTTTACAAATGAACATGAATTTGAATAAAGTTGTAATTTGAATTCAAATTTTTTTTGAGTTTTACTCCAAAAGAACAAGCCCTCAAATGGCCAAATTCACTTTTTCATGAAAAACCAAATTTAGATTCAATTCCACTAAAACTAAAACATATGTGTATACATAGCGATTTAATCCCAACCCTATAAAATCCTAACCTTAGAATCCCCAAATCTTCAAACCCAAAGCTCCGTTGAAGCATCCTGCGCAAGCTTGATAGCTCGACCAAAACGAAGACAAAATAGAAGTCTGGCTTTGCACGCGGATGAGGGCAACAGGGCTTGGGTTGCACAACGGTTGGGGTGGTAGGGACTGAGTCGTACAAGGGTGCGGTCAGAAGGCCTTGGAGGGTTGACGGCTGACGGAGCTGATTTTATAGATGTGGATTTTTTTTCTATTCTTTTAAATTTGGTGTTTTCTCTAAAAAAACTCTTGTTTTTATTTTGGATATCAGGGAGTGTTTTGACCTATTTTAAAAAATTAAGGAGCATTTTAAAATATGATACATAGTTTGGGGTATTTATGAAAATAATCCGAATAGATTGGGAAAAGTAACGAACATCTTCTCATGGTTTATAAGACTTCAAGAGTTCTTTGAAAAAGGCCAAAAGCAAAAAAAAAAAAAAAAAAAAAAAAAAAAAAAAAAAAAAAAAAGAAGAAGAAAAAGAAAAAAAGAAGAAAAGAAAAAACCGTCATTAGTGCCGTCGACTCTCTCCTAAGCGGAGCATTTGCGCCGTCGCGAGTACCTCTTTCCGCCGTCGCCAGCAACGTCGCCAGCTCTCCACCCGAGCCTATTCTTTTTTCTTTGCCTGTAAGCCAATCTCTTCCATTGTTTGGTTTTCTTTTCGTAATTTTTCTTTTGTTTTAGAATTTCTGTTTATAATTTTTGTTTAAAGTTTGCGATTTTGGTGGGGGAAAACCAAGTCTTTGAGAAGATTGTGAACGTTTCTGTTATAATCGTTCGTTCGTTTTCCTTTTGCTTCTATGATGGGATTTCATTGATTTTGCGAATCTCAAAGTGGGGTTGCTTTTGGAATGGAAATCTTAGCTCATTGGATGGATAATAATGGTGATTTGGTTTTTTTGTTTGTTATAATTTGCAAAATGGGTTGCCTTGTGGGAACAATGGAGATAATAAACATGCCTATTTGGGGAGAATAGAAAACAGTAGAGTGACAAGGAGGAGTTGTTCGTTAAGTTGTTGACTATAAGAATGAAAAGAGCTTCAATTGTGTTTATCTTTTTTTGTTTGAAGTTGAAGTTCGAGAGTATTGAAGTTTTGTGTTTGAAATTTTTATTTGAAGTCGAGTTTTAATCATGAAATAGAAATTGGTTTATGGAATTATTAACAGTCAAACTAGGGTTTTCCATCACTCCGAGCTAATGGAGGGGATGTCTCTGTAATTTTTTTGAAAAGTCAAGGTATGTTGGCGTAATTTATCTTAGTCAAGAGAGTGTAAATGTAAAAAGCTCGTCATTCAATGCTTATGCCTTGATCTGCCTTGAGGCTTACGCATTGTATAGATTAGGAAAAAAAAAAACATCTTGTGTTCCCGATTCTGCCTTTTAAAACTATTTGAGTAAGTACAGCCTAAAGATCTGTATTTTCAATTGAAAACAGGATGAATTTTTTTTTTGGCAGTGAATATGGCAAGTGACGGAAATCTGAAAACATGGGTTTCAGATAAGCTAATGTCACTCTTAGGATATTCTCAATCCACACTTGTTCAGTATGTCATCGGGCTATGTAAGTTGCTCTAACGTCATGCTGCAAATTGTTTTTTTTTTAATTTTTAATTTAATTTAATTTTTATGTCCTATGTATTTTAACTAACAAATATGATGATTTTTTCTTTATTGTAGCTAAACAAGCAGCATCACCAGCTGATGTAGTGAGTAAGCTCGAGGAGTTTGGAGTATCCTCATCAAGTGCAACACGTGCATTTGCTGAGGAAATCTTCAGCAGGGTACCCCATAAATCATCTGGTTTAAATGTAAGTTCTCCTGGGGATTGAAAGAATTTCGTCTTGTGAATTGTGACGTGATATGTGTCCCTTGTTTGATGTCTAGTTTGTTAAGTGGTGAAACGTACTGATGTAGTGATGTTTATTTCTTATATTTGTGTACATCAGAGTTATCAAAAGCAGGAGAGGGAAGCTGCAATGATTGCAAGAAAGACTTATGCTTTACTAGATGCGGATGATGAAGACGAGGATGACAACCGGGGTTCTGGTATTGGCATCATTTCTGTTGATTCTGCAACTGAAAGTAAACGAGGGGCGTCTCGCAACAAAAGGTTTAGGAAGAAGGAGGAGGCCCAAGATGAAAATGATGATGACGAGGCAGGTTTTCATATTTCTAGAATTTGTTTTTTGTTTCACATGGTATTATGCTGCTACATGCTTGTTCCAAAGTGTTGCTTTTGTTATGACTTGATTCTTATATTTACCAGGTGATTGCTCGTGGACAAGAAGCAAGGCGGGTTAAAAGGCGAACTTCCTCAGATGATGATGATGGTTCAGAGGTATTTTTAATTTTGGTATTCTTGAATGCGGCTTCTCATAGAAGCGCTAGTGTTTTGTTTTGTTGCTTCACACTTTTCATTTGAGAAAAACAGTTTGAAGATATAGTTAGTCATGGAATCAGCAATGTGTATCTGATTTAATGGATGAATATAGTGCTTTAATGCTAGTTGAGACTTTTACCTGGTTGTCCCCATGGTTTCTTTCTCTCCGTGCTATGTAGCAGGATTTTTATGATTCCCTGATCATGCTTACTTTTTCAAATTTATTACGAAATTTTACAGCATTTCATATTCAGCCGACCATTAGTGAATTCTTTTGAAAAGTGATCATTTTATTGTCTTTCTGTTTTAACTTTTATTTTCTCTATAATGTTAAACATCTCGTGTATTTTTTATGATATGCAGTCAGAAGAAGAAATGTTACGTGATCGAAGAGAGCGAGAGCAATTAGAGAAAAATCTAAAAGAACGGGATGCAGCAGTCACCCGCAAGGTATTGATCTGACTTTGAAGTCGGTATCATTCTTTAAGTTGTGATATCTGATTTGATGTTCATTTTTGCTTTGGCTTTCAGCCAAGTTGTTTTTGATATCTATATTCTAGTATAATTTATTGTTCTTACTGGTCCTTGCCACTTTATATGATTCTCTGTACATTATTATCGTTTCATCGTTGGTTCCATCATCATTATTATTGTTTGTATAAATATTAATAGTCCAATTTCTTATACTTTCTTTATTATAATTGATACTACAAAATGATGATGAGCTATCAATTTTTAAGTTTCTAATTTCATCTTTTCCCCTCTTTTTGGTGGCAACAGTTAACAGAGCCAAAGTTATCAAAGAAGGATGAAGGTAAGCACAATGTTAAACCCTTCTGTAGCTCAAGTTGCATGCATGTTTAGAATTTGGTATCTGTACTGGGGGAGATACATGTACGAGTGAATACAACTATACATGTGTTGTTAGCCACTGATGTACACGTGTGTTTGTTTTTTATTTATGTTGTTTAATCGAGATGTATGTTATGTATAAACAGAGGAGGCTATTCGAAGATCAAAGGCTTATGAGGAAGATGACATTAACACTATAAGGTGTGCTACTACGCATTATGATTATGTATCTTGATTATTCACATTGTTCCTGTGTTTGGTGGATTCTTTCTTGTGAAATATCATGCAAATTAAATGTTTAACAAGTATTAAGAGATAACTATGGGATCTAGGCATGGTGAAGGTGTGAAAAGGGATTCACATGCAAAGTGCTTGAATTCTTTTAAGAGACATAAGTGTGAGGGGATTTCTTTTTGGTCCTCACAGAAGTTAAAAAGGGAATTGAGTATATATTGTGCCGGTGGCCCGGAACTAGTGTCTTTTTATTATGTGCTGTAAATAAGCAGTTAGTACTAATGCTATTCCTGGTTTCTTGCCTTTGTTTCAGAAAAGTATCAAGGCAAGAATATTTAAAGAAAAGGGAACAAAAGAAACTGGAGGAAATCCGGTAAGAGAACATTGTATTGCAGATTCATTTTATTACATATGCTCCTTCCTGTGTCTAATATTCCGCTGGTGTGATGTTTAATTCAGGGATGATATAGAAGATGAACAATATTTGTTTCAAGATGTAAAGCTTACTGAAAAGGAAGAACGTGAAATGAGGTAATTTATGTCATTCCCTCTTGAGGTTGTAATAAGAGCCATGTGAATTTCTTTCCTTGCTGCTTGATGACAGTATCAACCATGTAAAAATTTTGGCCACAGTCATGGGGCCTATGCTGATCTTATTCATTTATTTATTTCTCTTTAGTAATATACAAACGTGTATACGTATAGATGCCTCATGGCTGCACACATACTGAAAGTGGTTTCATGAAAGGCTCGTATATTTATTATTCTGTAGGTACAAAAAGCAAATATATGAGCTTGTAAAGAAGCGGACAGAGGAAACTGATGATACAACAGAGGTACTTAATATTTTCTTTTTGATAGCATGGTGGGCAGGTCCTCGTAATTTTTGTATTGTTTCTTTAATTACTTTGTTGACCACACTACTTTAAAGATATTTAGTGAATTCAACATTTGAAATTTTACTTTCTGGAATATGCAGTATCGGATGCCGGATGCCTATGATCAGGAGGGTGGTGTTAATCAGGAGAAGAGATTTTCTGTGGTCACACAACGTTACAGGTTATCACTGAAGAAAAACATGACATGGAGATCTTCACATCACCCTATTTAGTCTCTTGTACACTTGAACAATCAAACAAAAGACACACACACACGCACTACCCTTTTACGTGTTCTTTTTATTTTTATTTTTTTAATAATTTAAACAATTTGTTTGTTTTTGCGTATAGGGATCCAACTGCTGGGGAGAAAATGAACCCTTTTGCAGAACAAGAGGCCTGGGAGGATCATCAAATTGGTTAGTTCTGTATTTTTTTTTTTGAATGCTTGAGTCTGAATTTTACTTATCATATTTTTTTTTTCTAATTTTGTCATTGTAGGCAAAGCAACATTGAATTTTGGTTCAAAAAACAAAAGGCGAATGTCTGATGACTATCAGTAAGTTGGTTTTCCTTCCTTTTGCTTCTGCTTTTCTCTGTTTCCTGCATTTCGCAGGGAGACAGAAATATTGCAGATTCATGTTGCGGAGACTAATACCCGAGTATGATTAACACTGTAAACCTTAATTTTAGGTTTGTGTTTGAGGACCAGATTGATTTTATCAAGGCATCAGTAATGGAGGGGGATAAGGTATATCTATCAAGTTAGTACGTTCCTTTGGACTTAATTCTTTGGTATCATTTGAATGTTTACTCAAATGATATGCCTAATATTGTGGATTTTACTTCGATACTTATTCTCCATCTTGACGTTTCATCTTTTTGTCACTTTTTCATGCAGTTTGATGAAGAGCAGACTGAGTTACACGAGCAGTCCAAGGCCCAATCAGCCCTGGAAAAGCTTCAGGTGTGTGTGTGTGTGTATTTTATTTTATTTTTTCCTTTTGGGAACTCTGCAAAAACTTTATTCTGTTGTTTGTATAAGCTTCGGGTGCTTGACATTACCTTTTTGTTCATTCAGGCGGAGAGGAAAACTTTGCCCATATATCAATATCGTGATGAGCTGCTCAAAGCTGTTCATGATCATCAGGTTTTTCTGTTAAACTATTTTGTTAGGAATTTCTATGTTGATTAGGAGTAAATTTTTTGAAACATGGCATGATGCTTGAATGATAATTTGACAATAACATGAAGAGCATTTTACACTCGTACCTGATGCACATTTAGCGGTATATGAATGTATCATTCTCTTATGCCATTGACTTATTATTCCTTTTTAGGTTCTTGTCATTGTTGGTGAAACTGGTTCGGGAAAGACAACACAGATACCTCAGTATCTTCATGAAGCAGGTTACACAAAGCATGGAAAGGTTTAGCTTTTTTCCTCTTCATGTTATGCTGTTATAATTTCAGCTCAAACTAAATAATTAAAGTAGATAGAAACTTTTTAGTGTTTTGTTTTGTAAGTTGCAATTATCTCCAGCTGAATTGCGGTCACTTCTGAAGAATTTTTGCCGTAGGCAACCGTCTGTAGCGTTTATGGAAACAATTTTGAATTTCCATCCAATAGTAGCCAGTTAAAGATCCATTTTCAATACAGCTCTTGTCAAGTCTTTAACATTTCTCTTGTTTGGGAAGATAAGGACAAAGCAAGCCAAAGACTAAAAAAAAAAAAAAAAACACTCTCTTTTCTCATTTCTACTCCTTTTAACTTCAATTGCCAAACACTCGCTGTTCTCTCAGTTGTGTCAGTGAAAAGTAATTTATGTTTGGTCTAATTTTTTTTTCCTAGGCTAAGTTTTGCAATAGTATGTAAGTCAGCTCTGGTTGTACCTCCAAGCTGACTATCAAAAGGATTGGAGCTCCTTTGTGATCAATGAAATTGGTGGTATTCATTATTTTTGAAGGTTTTATATAATCTTTTTTCTTCTCTCTTATAATTTTTTTACAGGTTGGATGTACGCAACCACGTCGAGTTGCTGCTATGAGTGTTGCTGCTAGGGTTTCTCAAGAAATGGGTGTCAAACTTGGGCATGAGGTATGCTCTCTTCATGTCATCATGTGTAGTCTAATTGTTGTGGATGCATTTGTCGTTCAATTCTTCATTTGTGATTTGTGTGGAGCAGAGCTCCAAAAGTAGAGAAAACTAACTTTTATTGCTGGGTTCTTTATTTTTCTGCTAATGCTGAAAGTGGTGCTTATGATTTCTCTAATATGATGTCTTGAGTTATTCTTATTGTTGACACATAATATTAAAGCTGGTCTTAGCAAAAAAAAAAAAAAAAAAAAAAAAAAAAAAAAAAAAAAAAAAAAGGGTGTGTGGGGGAGAAATCCAATCTTGAAAAAGGGTAATATTTAGCTAGAAATTATAATCTGATCTTTTTTGGTGAGAGTATTAACCACTTTTATGTCATACACAGGTTGGTTATTCCATACGTTTTGAAGATTGCACATCTGAAAAGACTGTTCTGAAATATATGACGGATGGAATGCTGTTGCGTGAATTCCTTGGGGAACCAGATCTAGCAGGCTACAGGTAAGATCAGATGTGATGTCAAATGAATTGCAATTTGCAAGTTAGCTTGCTTATTATCTCACTTGCCCTGTCTTTAAAATTTCAGTGTGGTGATGGTGGATGAGGCCCATGAAAGAACACTCTCGACTGACATTCTTTTTGGTTTAGTAAAGGTAAGCAGAAAATCTTCCAACTTTCAATTGTGTTAATATCACGGTTTTCTTTTCTTGTTCACCAAATTATTTCAATGTTCATATTGTTTATTCTTGAAACATTCATTGGACAGTGGATCATTTTCCCAGATTAGGACGACATTACTGAAGTTTTGATGTTACCCAAATGTCTAACGTTGGTTTTATTTGAGTTGATTCAACATGTAAAATGTAAAGGAAATTAGAATATAGGTATGGAAATGGAACAATTTAGGTGGATTTATCTCCCATTTATTAGAGTAACTAGAATATAGTTTATATAATACATTTTTATCTATAAATTAGAATATAGTTAATAGATTTTGTTTTAAGTTTCTAAATACTTTTAGTCTAGTAATCAAGCCTATTGCATTTTCTTCTTGGAAGAATGCCTATATTTGCATTTTGGAGAACAACTATCTATGGTGTTGCATAGAGGTGTAAGTTTGGGCCGCCCGGCCTGGCCTAGGCCCGACGGGAAAGTTTGGGCCGGCCCTAAAAGAGAGAGGGTCAGCCCAGTCCGGCCCTAAGTCCAAAAAATTTAGTGCCGGTCCAGAATTTTATAAGGTATTTTTGAACAAATTTTTAAAAATATTATGTTTGGCCCGGCCCTAAAGGAGAGAGGATCGGCTCGGCCTAGTCCTAAGCCTAAGAAATTTAGGGTCGGGCCTAGCCCGGGCCAACAGCTATGGGCCTCGGGCCGGCCCGTTTAGCCTAGCCCAAACTTGCAGCTCTAATTGCACGAAGCTGACTGCCTTTTGTTGTTTAATTCTTCTGATCACCTCTCGTCTTTATCAAAGTTAAAGTACTCAGCAGAAAACTGATAAATATGTTGGTTTAGGATCCCTAACCCTCAATGTGTTTTATTGTAGGATATTGTTCGATTTAGACCAGATCTAAAGTTGCTCATCTCAAGTGCCACACTGGATGCAGAGAAGTTCAGTGATTATTTTGATTCTGCTCCGATCTTTAAAATTCCAGGGAGACGGTATCCTGTCGAAATACATTATACAAAAGCACCAGAAGCCGATTACTTAGATGCAGCAATTGTGACTGCACTTCAAATCCATGTGACACAGCCACCTGGGGATATTTTGGTGTTCCTTACTGGTCAAGAAGAGATTGAAACGGCAGAAGAAATTATGAAGCATAGAATAAGGGGTCTAGGGACAAAAATTGCCGAGCTGATTATTTGTCCCATATATGCAAACCTACCAACAGAGCTGCAAGCAAAAATATTTGAACCCACGCCTGAAGGAGCAAGGAAGGTTGTCCTCGCCACAAATATAGCTGAGACATCATTGACAATTGATGGGATTAAATATGTCATTGACCCAGGATTTTGCAAGATGAAGTCTTATAATCCAAGGACTGGAATGGAGTCATTGCTAGTGTCTCCTATATCCAAGGCATCAGCAAATCAGAGGGCAGGTCGGTCTGGTCGAACCGGCCCCGGAAAGTGCTTCCGACTATACACAGCCTATAACTATTATAACGACTTAGATGACAATACTGTCCCAGAAATACAAAGAACTAACCTTGCAAATGTGGTCCTTATGCTTAAGAGTCTTGGTATTCATGACTTGTTACATTTTGATTTTATGGATCCACCACCGTCTGAGGCACTACTAAAGTCTTTGGAACTGCTTTTCGCATTGAGTGCCTTAAATAAACTAGGTGAGTTGACTAAAGTGGGTAGACGGATGGCAGAGTTTCCTCTCGATCCCATGCTATCTAAAATGATAGTTGCCTCAGAGAAATACAAGTGCTCAGATGAGATCATTTCCATTGCTGCCATGCTTTCCATTGGCAATTCAATCTTTTACCGACCAAAAGACAAGCAAGTCCATGCTGACAATGCACGCATGAATTTTCATGCTGGGAATGTGGGTGATCACATTGCATTGCTTAAGGTATGAATATCAGATCATGACTTTCTCTTGCTATTTTAGGGGTTATGAAATGTTTTGGACTTAAACCATGAACTAGGACTTGGGTTGGGAAAATGAAGTTTCATTTCCATACTATGGTAATAAATTGAATCGGATTGGAATTTTGGTTTCATTTTATTCCTTTCAAACCAAGCAGTGATGTCATATATATAATGTTGTTGACCGAATTTTTTCTTTTTATTATCCCCCAGGTGTACAATTCATGGAAAGAAACAAATTACTCAACGCAATGGTGTTATGAAAATTATATCCAGGTCCTCATGAGATTACTAAATTCCTTATTCAGTTTTTTTGTGATCCTCCTCATTGTGATTCTCTTGATAAAAGCAAATTACTGGCTGCATGACTTTTCTGGTATTTTGCATGATTCTGAAAGTCAACTTTGCTAAAACCAGATAGGGATGATGCTCTATTTGCGACAGTGCGGTTGATGTTGAGTGAATCTTCTAGTTGTCTGTTGTCTTCTACTGTTCTAGCTTTGTTTCCACTCCAAAAATAATAATGTCTCCGTAATTTAGAGATCCTATTCTTTTAGCCAACAGAGATCTTATATTTGGTGATGCTTGTAGGTTAGGAGTATGAAACGTGCAAGAGATATCAGAGATCAACTTGAGGGGCTCCTCGAGAGAGTCGAGATTGAGCTAGTATCGAATCCGAATGATTTAGAAGCCATAAAGAAGTCCATAACATCTGGTAATTTATAACAACCATCTGAATGAATGACCCTATACTGGAATGTTTTTCTTAATGTTAATTATTGAAATAAATTCTGACAAAGTGTTCTCTTTTAGGTTTCTTCCCTCATTCTGGAAGGCTACAGAAGAATGGATCTTACCGAACAGTCAAACATCCGCAGACTGTTCATATACATCCCAGCTCAGGGCTCGCCCAGGTAAGAGAAATTTGCATTTCGTTTAGTTTTCATTTTCTTTGTGATCATTTGGGCTTCAAATTGTGCAGCTGATTGAGTTGAAATCAGTTGAAGTTTCTTCGGCTTTTCTAAACAGCCCTAATAAATAGTTCGAACGCCCTAACAAGGACAAATTTGCATCACAGAGTGTTCCAATGGATTATAACAAGAGCTTCGTTTATTCATGAAAAGAAAAATTCTAAAGTACATGTACAATTCAGTGACAAAGGCTCTAAAAAGAACACTTCCCATGAAAGATTGCTTACGTCCTCTTTTATATTCTCAGGTGCTTCCGAGATGGGTCGTATACCATGAGTTAGTGCTTACTACTAAGGAATATATGAGACAGGTAAATCTTTCCCCTCTAGAGAATCGTATTTAAACTGCATTTCATTTTGGGCCTATGTTGGATTTATACTTGTTTCATAGCTAATACGCTGCTATCCAATTTCAGGTTACAGAACTAAAGCCAGAGTGGTTGGTTGAAATAGCCCCGCATTATTACCAGCTTAAGGATGTGGAAGACTGTATGTTCTCTCTATGTCTCTATACTCATACACGCACACATTCCTGAGCTTCAAAATCCTTAACTTTATTCACACGGTCGTGTTAACCATATCTTTATCTAGATTATGTTAAAAGGATAGGAAATAACGACTGATGCAAGGCTAATAGTTATAATGATGAGAATATCTGATATTCGGTTGATTTATGATTTTTTATATAGCTTTATATATCATATCCTAACGTTATAATCTGTGGCAGCAACTTCAAAGAAGATGCCTCGGGGAGAAGGGCGCGCGTCTTAGGATTGGAGACTGGCAACAAGTTCAGAAAGAGATTAAAATTTGAAGGTTGTAGCGGAAAATGATAATTGTATAGACGAGCATTGGCTATCCAGGGTAGCGGAAATCAGGAAGGGATACACACAATTTTGTATTTGAAACTACCTATAAATTTTGTACATAGAAAAAGTCATAGCCCCTAACACCCTGCCCTTCCATCCCCATCCGATTTCTTCGTCTTGGGGGTTTTGAGGGGATCTTTTTTGCAGTCAATGATGGTGAGGAATCTGTGACCCATTTTTAACCCAAATTTAGATCAGATATTTAGTACATGATGTATTATAGATTGTACCATTTTGAAACCTGCCTTTCCGGAAGTGGTGAAGCGTTAAAATGTATTTGCGGAGGTAGATTCTTCACTTTGTATCTTCCAAAAATATATGAGAAGCGATTTTGTTCCTTGTTTAATCCAAATTTTTATATATCATTATTTCTTTTCATGTGGGGTTTAAATATCTATTCCTATTTTTGAAGTGACCTTTGGGTGTAATTCTACCTAATTATGGTTGACTTGAGGTCTAGACGCCATTTTGTTCAAGTTCCATTGCTTCCATACCATTTTTTCCCCCCTCTAGAATGGAGACTCCAGTTTGGCCAGTCCCCGAACAGTAGGTAGTAAATGATGTTCTGCCAGATTGCCAACTTCGCTCGACATGCAGATGTCAGTTTTTTTTGTTTTTTATTTTTTTTTTTGGTGCAGATGTCACCTATTTTGAATAAGGGTATTTTTTTTGGTAGCTCAGTCTTATCGGCAGTGTCAGTTCAAAATAATATCAAATTGAAGAAGTACGTTAAGCAAACTGTTTCTGATACATATGTTGAAAATAGAGAATTACTAACGCTTTATTTTTTCTGATCCTAACAGAAAAACCCCCTAATAAAAGCTCTTATACATTGTTGGTATATCATCTGTATTGGAACCAATGAATGATGAAAAGAGACGGAGCTAAATAGTATTTTTTTTTGAAAGTATTTATGGTAAATAGTATTTTTTTTTAAAGTCTTTATGGTAAATGACATTTACAGTGTGTTTGGTAGGGTGGAAAAAAGAGAGGAAAGAAAATAGAGGAAGGATTTTATAGAGAAAAATAGAATTTTAGGTTATTTAGTAGAGAGGAAATGAGGAAGGAAGGAAAATGAAAATCCATGGGGTCCACCAATTTTTCATCCTTCTAACTTTAGGAAGAAAAGATGAGAAAAAGTTTGACAAAAAATGAGATGTAAAATAACAAATTTAACATTCACAATTCATCATATTTTTATTTGTATTGGGGTATTATTGTAAAATGTTTTAATTTGATATTTTCTTCACTTTTTTTCTCTTCTACCAAACAACACGAGAGAAAATCATTTTACTTCCTTTACTTAAATATTTTACTTCTCTTTCCTTCTTTTCTATTCACCCTATCAAACATAGCATTACAGTAAATGATTTAGTTACGAGTTTTGTATCTTTACTTCAAAGGCGAATCATTTATTGCAAATATGTTGTTTACCATAAATATTTTAAAACATGTAAATATTTTAAAAAAATTGCCTATTTGCAATAATTTCCATATCGACAATCAAGCAGTTTAACTAGGAAAAAATTTTCAAGCAATCCCCAAAATTTAAGCACATAAACTGCAAAAGGCATGACTGATCACTGAAAACTTTGCTTTTATTTCAAAAGAAAATAAGATAGAATCACTTTCTGTAAAACAATAGAACTAGTAATAATAGTAAAAGGGAAATAGAAAAAAAGGGGACATGACAACTAAAAATAATATGATGAAATGAAAGAAACTGCATCTCCTTGGAGCTTAACTCCAATTCTAAATTCCCATGAGAGAATTCAATCTCATGCCACAGCAGGCATATCCTTGAGCCATGGGTCCAATGGCTTCCCAATCGAGTAGACGATGAATCCAATCTCCCTCAGCTTCTCAACATCTACAATGTTCCTGCCATCAAACACAAAAGCAGGCTTTCGCATGTTGTCGAATATCTTCTTGTAATCAAGTGTCTTGAACTCGTCCCACTCGGTGAAAATGCAGACCCCATGAGCATCCTTAGTCGCCTCATAAGCATCCCAAGTGACACCAACTTGCTTCACTGCGGTTGGGCTCATTGGCTGCAGATGAATTGGGTGGTCCCAATCAAACTTGTTCATAGAAAGATCCCTTTGGATTTGGTCCCTGGTAACCTGCGGGTCGTAAATGCTCAGCCTTGCTTTGTCACCCAATAGCCCCTTGCAGACATCAATAGCAGGAGTTTCCCTTGTGTCCCCGGTGTCTTTCTTGAAGGCAAAACCAAGAATGGCAATCTTTTTACCAGAAATCGTGTTGAACATCGACGAGACAACGCGGTTGACAAACCGGTTCTTTTGGTAGTCATTCACCTTTATGACTTGTTTCCAGTAGTTTGCAACCTCAGTTAGGCCATTGCACTCGCATATATAGACCAAGTTTAGTATGTCCTTTTGGAAACAAGATCCACCAAAGCCAACACTGGCATTGAGGAACTTGGGACCGATTCTGGTGTCTTCGCCGACGGCATGGGAGACCTGTGAAACATCAGCTCCAGTAGCTTCACAGAGGGCTGACATGGCATTGACAGATGAGATCCGCTGTGCCAGGAAGGCGTTGGCAGCCAGCTTCGAGAGCTCTGCGGACCACAGATTTGTTGTCAAGATTCTGTCCTCAGGCACCCAATGAGCATACACAGCTTTCAGTGCTTGAATTGCCTTTTGCCCATCAGGGGTTTCCCTCCCTCCAATGAGGACCCTGTCAGGGTTAAGCAGGTCCTGGATTGCCGTCCCCTCAGCAAGAAACTCGGGGTTGGACAAGATCTGAAAGTTGATCCCCTTGCTGTTGTGTGTCAAAATCTTCTCAATTGCCTCGGCAGTTTTGACTGGTACAGTTGATTTCTCAACAACAATCTTGTTGGACTTTGAGACATCAGCAATCATCCTGGCCGCGCTCTCCCAATATGCCAAGTCTGCAGCCTTGCCTGCTCCAAGACCTTGGGTTTTCGTCGGAGTGTTGACCGAGACAAAGACTATGTCTGCCTCGGAGACATGTCTCTCCACATCAGTGCTGAAGAAGAGGTTCTTTCCCCTGCACTGCTTCACCACTTCTTCAAGGCCCAGTTCGTAGATTGGAAGCTGGTCACTGTTCCAGGCTGCAATCCTTGAAACCGAGATGTCGACAACAGCTACTTCGATTAGAGGGCACTTGAGAGCAATCATTGCCATGGTTGGCCCTCCAACGTATCCAGCTCCAATGCAGCAGATTTTTACCATTTTCTTCCTCCTTGATCTGCAATAATTTGCTTCTCAATAAAAAAGTAAAAACAGTTCTCTAACAAAAAAAAAAAAAAAAAAAAAACTAAAATCAATTCTCAAGTGACATTTAAGTCAACTTGTTGCATTGTCAAAATTTTGCCAAATTGAATGACATGACGGGAAATGGTATTTTTGTTATGACTAGTCAATATATATATATATATATATTTGTTTTCCATTCATTTAAAAGTGGAGTCTAAAGAAGAGGAAAATGTGTTTAAACAGGCTGTGATAGAGAAAGGACTTGATAGCTCGTTAGGTGTTCCAAGTTGTACAGAACTTTAATAAACAAAAACTAAATAAAGCAAAGTGAGCTAAACAAAATATTCAGTTTTTTCTTCTTGCATTAGATCGAAAACCATATTCATATCATGGTGTAAAATATTTTTAAGGATGAAGATACTAAAGAGAGGATTTGTATCAAATATACCAATGCAAACAGATTAAAACTAATTAAGGATTTGTAGAGATTACCTCAACAATTTCTTTGTGACTTGAGAAGAGATCAACAGAAAAGGAACAGGAAATGGAGGGAAATGTTTGTGGGAAACTACTCAAGAGACCACAAACTACTCTAGAAAGCAAGGAGGTACCTCCTTAAATACAAAGACATACACATATAATATTTATATATATATATATATATTATATTATATAGCCGAGTCTAATAAGTATAAGATCTGAATAATAACTTTTGTACTTTCCCGAACCAAAGCAAAGTCAGATTAGAAACATGGACTGGAACGTTAAACACGTTTCCAAATCACCTTTTAGTAACAAACAAGGGAAAGTTTGAGCGACCCACTTTTCTTAAAACCATAATTAATTATCAATCGCCTTCCCAAGAGTTTCATTCAATTATAACTACACCAAACGACGGTTCAGCTTTGCAAAATAGTGAGAATTGTTTTGCTCTTTTTTTTTTTTTAATGGGAAAAGAATATTGCTTCGAATATCAATGTTCTGAAGGTTTAAAAGAAAAAAGAATCGAGGATTTGAACACTTGTGGTCTCCATTATTGGAGTCGTGTGTAAATTTATCGTTGAATTTGCCTTACATGTACATATATGTATATATTATTTTATATATATAGGTTACATATAGGTGTATAAGTTAAACTTGATGATACATAACAACGTTTAAACAAAAGAAGAATTTTAAAAGTTTTTCATCCCACAATAGAAATTATTATCAGACCATTGAATTTTTTTTTTTAAAATTGAAAAATTTAATCTAATGGTTAAAAACAATAGAAATTTCTCCCGGAAGTATTTTTCTATATATTAATTGATATATTAAGACCAGAACCCATGCATGTCACGTAATAGGCAAAAAAAAGGCTTCTCTTTTTGTTCCTTTTTTCTGTGAAGTATTTTAAGGTACTGTGTGACTTCTTTAACCAAACCCATGTGGTATATGCCCAATAAGGGGCCTAACCAAACACCAGAAATGTTGCCATTTCTAGTACAAAAAGGAAACTTCAACGTCCAGAAACAACGTGCTCGATGTGGTGGCCGGTTTAGAGAGAGAGAGAGAGAAGCTTGAGTGATATCAAAGGCATGGAATGTATTATATATTATTTGTAACATAACATCTCAACAGTTAAGAGACCTTGATTTAAAAGGAACAAATGATGATTAACGTGTTTATACCTGAGAATAATGCCACAAATCAGCACCAAATTAAAAAAAAAAAAAAAAAAAGGGACAAAAAGTTGATGGAAAGCGTGAGGTGCACTAAAAGAAGGATTATATAGCCACACATCAATAGATGTCCCCTTTGTTACAATGATTATGTGATTATATAGACTTTTTTATAAAAAAAAAATTAAATACACGCACATTTAAGCTGGAATTAGTGATGTTGGTATAATGAATTGGTAGAAAAAATTTTATAAATCTCTCCAGATCTAATATATTGTTTTATTGTGCGTCTCCCCAAACTTTAAAACGTCAGCAAAATTACCCCTTCCGTGCACTAAATTGCTAGTGTAACACTAATGTGGGAGTTTTGAAACCTAATTTAAACTAAACAACTTGATTATATAGAAAATTATAATACAAAAATTTCATGAAAAAACTTCTTTGCAAGGGAGATCTCGTCACGATGGTGGGTCCATCGCTTCCCCCCTCCCCATTAGGCCCAGTGCCGCCATAGCCTCCACCTCAACGAGATCTCCCCTCTAAAAAAAAAAAAAAATTAATTATTAGTTTTTATATTTTAAATTATGGTTTAATCTCCTAATTTGGTGCTGCGTTGGTAATTACGGAAATTTACTTATGTTTTGAAGTTTGAAAGATAAAAATGATCGTTTGTCAAATTCGGAAAATAAAGTGAAGAAATGACACAAGTTTGAGGAGTGGGTGAAAGTTATGGGACTTATCGTGATTCATAAAGTGATGCCCTGTGTTTAAGCTTTAGCTGCAAGTAGATGACAGGCACATTGGTAGGATGACACGTGTAAAAATACGAGGTCTAATTCAAAATTGTGCCACGTGGTTCAATGAAATGATTCACAAAATCTCGTTTGTAAACGTCAGTAAAAAGTGGTTGCTTTGACTTTCATTAGAGTTGACTACACTTCAACATTCTGGACTTTTGGTGAATGAATGTGCTACCAGAATTTTCAATTATGCTAATTCTACTAGAGTTGCCTTGTTAGCGGGAGAATCGCCACCTTTATGTGAAACGTTAGTTTTCATGAAATGTTTGTCTAGGCTAGATCATGTTCACAAATACTTTTATTTTGCCAAAAGTTAAAACTTCAAGAAGCATATTTATATAGGTAACTTTTCTTTCTCATATAGTGCATCTTTATAAATACCGGAATTATGAGTAATTTTACGATATGATAAGAAAAAAAAAACATGCAATGCCGATAAGTAATCCTATCAGACTCTTATAATTCTAACTAGACTTAACGTTTTGAAACATACAATGCCGATATAAGTACATGGCATAAGCATTTGGCGCATCTCCATGGAAATATACCATTTCCTAACGATCCTATTTCTGCTTAATTGATAGCATTTGGCGATCTTTATTGATGCTCTTAGTACTCTGTTTAGGTGCTTTTTATTTTCCAAGGACAATAAAAATGTATCAAAAGAAGTAGTAATCTCAAGTATATAATTTCCATTCTGAAGGTAATTATATAGTAAGATGAAGGCTTATCAAAAACAATTCTTTCCGTAAACCGTACCTAAGAAATAAAAAAACCGATATGTAGAAGTTTTTCTTCTGTGAGGCCAAAATGTCTTGAAATTCCAATTTAAAAAAGAACCAAGATGAAAAATCTAGACATACTAAATTTCACATCAATGATGAGCCTAAACTTTCTAATATTTGGCAAAAAATGAATGCCATTTAGTTGAGTTTTATTAGCAAGTACATTTTAGGCCCCTTTTGCCTTCCTACCTCAAACCTCCTTGCTAGGAAAGTAGCTAGGGTTTTAAATTTTTGATTAGGTGAGAAACTAATTCAAAGGGGATAAAGTTTGGCTGTTTAGAGCCTTCATTTATCAGTAATTTATGATTATAGAGAGCTATAGATAGTTGCAACAAAAAAAGAAATAAATGTGTTATATAGGATATGTCTCTTGGCTAGGAGTTAGATCTCCTTTGGTGGTTAATATATGGGATAATCTCAAAATTGCTTTTCGAACCCTACACCAAATCCAACTTTCATTCCTAATATTTTAAACATCCTAAAATAGCACGTCAATCTATTTGGGTGTGACAAAATTATTTCTTTAGTCAGCTCTATTAAGAAAATAAGGAAAAATAACATCTAATTTCTATTAATTGTGGTAGTAGTTTAATTATTAAGATATATATAGATATCGGGGATCAAAATGAAATTTGACGTAAAGTACGATAACATATTTAAGATATGTGAAAAACATTGTTGTATATAACATTAGCGGTCTCTTATTTCCTTAATTCCGATTTCTAAATGCATAGAGTCCAAACGAGGTTCTCACGGTCGTGACTAGTGAGTATACCTTGCAATTTTCTAAAAATACAACTCTCTTATTACTTTGAGTATTATAAACTTTTATTTTTCTTTTCTGAGTCATTAGACTTTCAATGTTGTAAACAGAGGCTTTTAACTTCTATTATTATTATTAGGGCTTATTACATTGACACTTGTGTTTTACTAAAATAACGGGAAGACCTCTTGACTAAATTAATTACGTCAACACCTTTTGACTTTTTAAAAAAATCACAGACACACCTCCTTTGTTAATTGACCGTAAAAATTGGCTAAAATTTGACTGTTAACTTTTATAAAAATACCAAAAATACTCCTCCTTGCGTATATATGCTGCTGGAAATGAGTTTTCAGCCTTATTTAACATCAAAAAATGAGTTTAATTGATTTTATACGCTTTTAACTATAATTTTCACTCTTAACGATAAGCAAAATGATTTTCTTGTTTATTTTTTTTTTTCTAAAAAAGTCTCTTTTTAATAGTAATATTATTGATCAATTTTAAAGATAAAAATTAGAATCTAAATATTGTGTTAAAATTAGAGTCCAAATATTGTGTCTTTTTAATCGTGCTTATGCTGCACTTCGTTATGGTCTTTGACCAATGAGCTAAGCTTGACGCGTAATATGTTCTTTGTTGAAGTTGCTATGAATGAAACAGAGCTTTGTGCAATTGTGCTAGAGGTGTCAAACATGCCGGCACAACATGTCTGACTTCAGGTCTGTCATAGACCTGGGCCGAGCCAGGCACATCCTTGAACAGTTCAAGACCGTGCCTAGGCCCAGCTCTGGCCCTTTTAATATTTATTGCAAAATTTAATGAAAAAAATATATATATCATATGTACTTAAAAGATGTGATTTTATTGAATTGAAGTAATACGAATAATAACACATAAATGATTGCCTCGTTAAAAATCTTGCTAAGTAAAGCTCGAGGAGAGATCGAGACAAAACCTTAGCGAAGGAAAAAATAGTACAGTATACAAGGATAAGTAAATAATGACAAAAAAAAGTAAAACGTTGTCAAAAAACCCTTGGCCCACGTAGTGGGGCGCCCAGGGACCAGCTCAGGGGCAGGGATTGGTCGAAAATTTACATTTTTATTTATGTTTTGTATTCTAAAATTAATATATAATTTTTAAGAATTAATGCAACAAGCGGCATCATTTTTTTGATGAATATTCTATTTTTTATGATTTTCTTTAATTTCGTATTTAAAAAATATAATAAAATAAAAACGGTGTCAAAAAATAATGAAATTAGGCAGACACGATCCTTATATTTTTCTAGACATGCTAGAAAAAATGGCCTCAAAAAATGACAAACAAAAAGTAAAACGTTGTGAAAAAGGCCCCGACCCGCGCAGTGGGGCGCCCAGGGGCCAGCTCAGGGGACGGGATGGGTCAAAACTTTACATGTGTATTTATGTTTTGCATTCTAAAATTAATATATTATTTTTATGAATTAATGCAACAAGCGGAACCATTTTTTGATGAATATTCTATTTTTTATGATTTTCTTTATTTTTGGTCTTTAAAAAATATAATAAAATAAAAACGA